TCATTCTTTGTATTACATTGTCCTGTTTAACATAATTACTTCGTTAGTAAAAAAATAAAATATTAGCATAACCATACAGCATTATTTATTCAAACGCTCAAATATATAATTCAACATGCTGGGATATATGCTCATTTGGCATTCTTGATTTGGAGTGAGATGAGAAGGGCTCTCATATCTGTACCATAAATATGAAGCTATCACCAGCAGCTGGTTAGCTTAGCTTAGTTTATCACAAAGACTGGAAACAGTGAGCCAGGCTCTGTCCATAGGTAACAAAATCTGCCCACCAGCTTCTCTAAAGCTCACGGATTGACATGTTATATCTGGTTTGTTTAATCTGTACGAAAATGGAAGGGTAATAACAACACCTTTTGGTTTTAAACGTGGTTATGTCCCAAACTAGTTTGTGGCCGGGACCAGTAACATCCTAGAGTCTCTGCTGGTGACCTGGTAACCTCATGTTGATCAGGCTGTTCTCATACAGCATTGGAAGCAACACCTACAACAATTAATGCACTGCAATTCATAGATATCCCACAAAATGAATTGGTATGTAATCCATGTGGATACGTCAAACAAAGCAGGTCTTTAAGCCAGGAGAAACTGTTCGTGCCCCGTGTTAAACGAGAAGTCGATATTCAGTTATTTATTACCTAACTTCCGGACTTAATGAACACAAACAAACAAATTAGTTATTTTAACCCAAGCCACGACCTTTTCTTAAACATAACTAAGAAATTTATTTTTAAAAGACTGCATGCATGTAACAGAAAATGATAGGTAACATTTTCACCAAATATCATAAGAACCGTTGTATGAGGATACGTTTGTTGAAAACTAAACTCCAGGAAGTAACTGCGTCTTGCCCAAACCCGCGGCCACGCATCCAGTTCTCTCAATACATCCAGTGTCCGGCCAAGGAATAGTCCAGCAGTCCCCTATATTCACATACAGAATACAAAAATGAGAATGCTATTGATTATCTTATATAACTTTTGGCACAAAAGTAAGTTATATTTTGTTATGTTTAACTAATTCTGTAACCAAGTACTGTTTTTCCCTTAAGTTAACCAAAACTTAACCATAGCGGGCAGATCAGGAAACATATGAAGAACATTTGAAATGGTTTTGGGAGATACTAACAATTTCATCATCACCCTTTTGCCAAGGTCCCCTATCACTTTCTAAAACACCATTAATATTAGGAGAAGATTGTAGTCATAGAAAACAAGTGAGTGTTAATAATTAAGTTTAGAAAACTAAAGCAAAGATTGTTGTTGTGGTTAAATAAAAGGTGAAAATGAATAGAAAGTCTCTTATGGGAGACAGAGTTCATTGCTACATAACGTTACTTTCTGCATTGACACTGAATGCTGGGATTGGATCTGCTTCAAAAGGTGAACAATCGTCCAAGAGGGATGTTATTTCTATGGCTACTGGGCTGTGATGATATTGACATCTGATCAGAAAATGCTGATATTCTTGGAAGGCAATGATGAACAATACATTTTGAGGAGCCGCTCCTGATTTCACCAACATCTAAACTCTGAAAATGAATTTGATTAGTTTTTCTTGGAAACTTTTGTCCTGTGCTCTGTTATGTGAAATCCCAGAACCAGCTGGAGTGTTTCTCGCTGCTGTCGCTACGAGTGGAGCCACTGGATTCATACAGGAGCTGTGTGATGTAGGTAGTTTCAAGTTGTTGGGCTGGATGCTTAAGATCACAGGAACCTGAAACTGCCTGAATCACATCAGTCTCAACTGCACACAGCCGCATGCCGACAGACAGCAGAGGAGGAAACCAAGCAGAGACTGTGTGCTTTGTGCCATTTGGGAGTAAAACTGCATTGATACATGCTGCTGAATGGAGAATCTGATCGATTAAAACAAACTGCAGCCTTGCAGATTGTTTCTTTATCAAAAAGTCATGTGCGAGTGCAAAATTTGAAATAAAAACAAAAGATGGATACATGGTGGTGCTCTGAGTTGATCAGTGTCAGTAGTTGTTTACAGCAAGGTCCTTCCAAATGTCTCTTTTTCGCTCTGTTTATTTATTACCATAATTTAAAAAGTACACATTATATTAGGTCAAGCGATACATGCACAAAAAAAGATTTCTAACGAGGGGTGTTATGATCAGGGAGTGTGGACCCAAATGCAGGACACTGACAAGAGGTAATTAATGAGAAAGGTTTACCATGGAACCAAGGTTGGCAACGGTGGATGGCAGAGCAGGACGGACTAGGGCGAGGTTGCAACAAGGGAAAAGAACAGTTTATGTCAAGATCCAAAGCACTACGAGGAAAACACAAAAACTACTGTGGTCCGAGACATAAACTACCACAGTAGCTGGCAAGGACCGGGAGGAAAGCAAGGGTTGATTTGCTGTGTGGTTGATGAGTAGATTACTGACAGGTGTGTGCAGAGCAGGGCGAGGTGATGAGCTGATTGATGGCAGGTGTAGGTAGACTGGGCCCAGGTCGACAGGAAGAGACTCACACACATGGAGACAAGCCAGAGACATGGACGACCAGAGGAGTGTGGAACGCTGGGAAAGAACAGGGAATTCAAATGAATTAAAAAAAGAAATCAGTATAAATATCAATATATGAAATAGTAAGGAAAAACAATCTAATGGTCTAATAAGTCCATTTGGATCCTATTTTTGCAGTGGACGCTCGAATAAAACTCATCCACGTGACAAAGCAACGGTCAGAGCAAGTGATGTAGTATTAAATATTGAGAAAGATCAAATATATTAAATAGTGACAAAGACCATGGTGGAGGGGAGGTGGATGGTCCAACAAACACAGAACTTTCAACCACAAGACCGGAGTTCCACACCGTGCGTCCCAAAGTGTTGTCGTGAAGCGAGGCATTCGTGAAGTGGTTTTGTTGCCTAAACGTAAGCTAACTACGTGGCGTTGTTCCCTAACAGCAGTTTATTTTTGCGTAATGTCGTCCTGGAAAATAAGTCCAATAGATGGCGTTGTTTTACTCTTTGACAACCTGCCCTGACACTGCATTGATATATAGACTATACTTGGTGTTTGTTTTGACTTTTGTACTTATTTGGTCAATGTTAGCAAGCTAGGTTAACTAGCTTCCTCTTTTTTCAAGTGGAAGCTAGTAGCCTAGCTTGCTAGCTTCAACATTCTCAGTGAAATACAAACTTAAAAACAGGTTTGGTCCTACCACATGTTCAAGTTGTAAAGAGACAGTGGTCTGAAGTCGCTGACAGAACATAACCAACCAATAGAAGACAAAAAAGGACAGCGCTTCTCTGAGCAAAGAAAGCCCCCAAATGTCAGTCGCCTGTTACCACGGGAACTGTGCAAAAGTTTTTATCTACTGTTAAAAAAAAGTGAAATTATGCTTGCTGCACCAACATCATGGTACATTTCTTTACACACAGAGACCAACATTCACATTTCAGTATGACTATAATGACAAGAGCGTCTGGAAGGAAGGCTGTGTCCATGCACCCACACAGGTGCTTTCAGGTATGTTGGCTCTGCTCAGGTGAAAGTGAGCCACGGCTCTGCTGTGGTGATCGAGCGTTCTGTTCTCATTAACAGGCAACATAACTAGCAGGTGAGTGGGGGAGATGCCAATCAAGCCCCGAATAAGTGAAAACACCTGCGTACATATGCAGAGCCTGGACTTGTACACACTAGGGTCCTCACAAAGTGTTTGTTAATTAGTCAAATGAGAATTATTTGTAGCTATTTGATGCAATGCATTCCTGTGTATATTTCTCTTAGATTAGATTCCATGACTCACTGCTGTAGTTACATTAACAGATATTTAACCTTTTGAGGTGAGTGGCTTATCATTTTGTTGGCGAAAACAGACTTTTGATAATTCATTGAAAAAGGTGATGATGTATGAATAGTTCTACATATAGGCTCTGTACTTCTTCCACCACTAGCCTGCACACACAGCAACGTTTCCTCATACAACAGCTCGTATGCTGTTGAAATGTTATTTTGTTATCTTTAGTGCATTTTTCTATGAATGTCCAGCAGCATGAGTGATAAATTTGCATGCACAAGCCACAGCGGTGTTTAGACAGCAATAATACGTGGCTAGGTTTAGGAAAAGATCGTGGTGTGTGTTGAAATAAGTACGTCTGAAACACTTGGTTAAGTTTAGGCAAAGAAACTACTTGGTTAGGTTGAATAAAGTATTGTGGTTTGGGTTAAGATAATTACGGAAGTGGCATCACTTAAGTACGGAGGTTACGTAACAAATAAGCCAATGTTTGGGTTTAGGTGTACACTGAAGCCGTGTTACTTGAGTACGGAAGTTATGGAACAAATAAGCAAACTTTGGGGTTAGAATAACAGCGGTAGTTGCAATACTTAAGAAAGGAAGTTAATTAATAAATAAGTTAATGTTTGTGAGTTGACACCTGATTTCACATGGGACACAAACAGTGGTCTCCTGGGTAAAATGCCCATGCTTTTAGACCCACCCATCCATCCTAACCTCTTCCAGATGCAGACTTTGTCGCTCTTTATACTACATCACCTGTGCTAGCTCACGACTATGTGGATTACATACAAATACAATATGTGGGTTACTTATAGAGCATTACTTTTCGAAACTACAGCTACAAACAGTGTCTGGGAACAGCCTGCACACAGCGATTCATTTTGCCTGTGTAATCATACGAAATGAAATTGTGTCTAGAGTACACTGCCTGGCTTAAGTTTAGCATTAAAGGGACAGTGTGTAGGATTTGGTTGCATTTAGTTGTGTGGTTGCAGATTGCAACCAAGTAAATACCCCTCACTCCTCCCTTTCCAAGATCCACCGAGTACAAAACCCTGGTAACGCCGTTTCACCTCGCTCAGAGGCCATCCTTACAACATAATAACACTACTTTAGGAGCAACAGAAGTCAGACTGCGGCTGGCAGGTAACATAAGAATCTCTCTCTAGCCAGTCTTTGGTTTGTCCATTCTGGCTTCTGTAGAAACATGACAGCGCAACATGGCGGACTCTGTGAAGATGATCTGCTCCCTGTGTAGATGGGCTCAGTCTAAGCTAACAAAAACACAACAATTCTTAGCTTTAGGTCATCATACACTTGTGAAAATAATAGTGCTGGGCGACGATTAAAATATTTAATCACGATTTAATCGCATGGATTTTTTGCGATTAATCGCGATTAATCACATTGTTATGGCAAAGTTCAATAATGAATTAAAAAGTAGTGTATTGTGCACTTTTATTTTAAAAGTACTGCTATATGAACAAAAGGGCAATATCATTTGATTTACAAACACTTTAAACACATCTGGTGTTTTTTAACAGCAGTATTCCCTTTACACAGTAGAGATCATATTTCTTATATTATATCATTTGTATATCATATGCATATTTTCCCTTTAACTGCAGGTAGCATGTTTTATACTTAATGTGAATATAATTCATACTTTGTTGGCATCTTATTCTGAAAACCGGATGTTCGTCTGAAGAAACCGGAAGTTGTCTCACGTTAATCTTTCCGCTAACTTTCAAACTCCTTCGCTCGCTCCCGATCTGTGCCGTTTGAATGCGTTTACCGTGAATTTCAGCATATAGGTGCACTAACATGTAAATGTCTGCTGAGTTGACCGCAGTGATATCCAGTAGTCTCCAGGGAGCTGGTGCACGTTGTAACGCCGTGTATTCTAACTGGCTGCAGTTTGTATCCACTTCTCTGTAGCATCTGTTAGCTTGTCTTGCTTTTGTTTATCTATACTTCCTCCACGGACTTTCAAAATAAAACAATGCATTAACGCGCTATAAAATAATTGTCGGCGTCAATTAATGAATGCGTTAACGCGATAATAATGTGTTAATTTGCCCATCACTAGAAAATAAATAAATAGTTATGAACATTATATTCCATTTCTGCTAATAGTTCCCCCGAAATGTGACACACTGTACCTTTAAGCATTTGTAAAATTTGGTTTCACTTACAAATGATTTGTCTCTAAAATAAAACACATCAGGAATTATGAGTGTGTGTGTCAGATGGGGTCAGGGGTCAGATGGTGTTGGCCTTCTGTTCCTCCTCTGGAGTGCTGTGATGATGAACGTCGGTCGCTTTCGCTTGAAAAACATAATTGTGTTTTATAAAGTTCAGCGTGCTGCCATGAAGCTGTAAATCCACTCTCTCTCTCTCTGTCTCCCCTGCTTCGGCAGCGGAGGGTTTCTGTCTAATTTGCAGTGCGTTTTAATAGCACATTAACATTTAGCGGCCACAGTACACTGTCTGGCTGCGTTCTGGCGCCGGTACAAGAGCCAGTACAAGCTCCCCCATTTTCTCAACATCACATCCAGCACAGGATGTAGAGTGTTGTTGACATCCGGATTGTAAATGAAGCAGTTCACTGTAAAAACTCATGGTGCATTTTATTGAAATCCACTTTGGTTTAATCATTACTTCATAACTTTGAAGATCATTTCCAAATCAAAGCTTGTAATTCTGCTTTACTTACATTCATGAAATGAAAGTCATGTATCATCCTATTTAAGTTTATTGAGACATTTAGAAATATTATAACCTCATTAGCATTTTAGGGTTATATGATATTTTTGGAAATTCTAGTTTATTTGCATATATGAGGTTATTGCAAATTGTTTCAAAAGAAAGGGTGTATGGAAGGATTCATCTCTAGTAAATACAACATGGGGGATCATTATTTGAGGATGCACTGATTTTCAGCGTTATGCAATGATTGTAGCCATTTTTGTAGCAGTAGTTGTATACTTAAGGGGACACAGAGTATCCTAATTGAACACAAACTTATAGTTATAACTTATATATCCACTCATCTTCCACAGGTTTACTCCACATGTGGAGTCACGTGCTGCCTTGAAATGGGGTTGTGTTACCATGTTCCAGCTCAGTATCATGGCAGGTTGTGAAATAGTCACGAAATGCAATCTATTGGTTTTGTGTACATGGAATGCAAATTGACAATTTTTGTGTGTGTTGCTAAGCACTAAAACAATGCCAATAGAAAGTCAATCAGGGTCCTTTTCCGTGGTGGAAACACAAATTAAAGCCATCCGTGTGACTGTGCAACAGTCAGAGCTAGTGACATAGAATTAAATAGCAACAAAGAGCATGGTGGACGGGAGGTGGATGGTCCAACAAAGGTGTTCGACACCGTGTGTCCCAACGTGTTGATCTGTGTTTTTTTGCCTAAACCTATTGTAACTGACAGTTTTCCTAAACTTGTGGTTTTGTTGCCAAAGCGACATGGAATAACATGAAACGAATAGATTGCATTCCGTGCCTATTTCACTAATTGTCATAAGACTAGACGAAAACAAACCAGAAGAAAACAAACGGTCATTTACACGAAGACGCCAACAAAGATGTCGAAACTGGAAAGACAACGAGAATCGCCAACCTCTGTCAGAAAGGGCGAACGCCGAAATCGGCAAGACATTTGTTTTTTCCGCTGTGTGCTACATGTGTGAAAAGGAAAGTCCGGACAATGTCCGGAGTTCGTATGAGAAAACCGCTTAGGTCTGGTCTTCAACAGTGAACATGTGATGAGTGGGGTTTAGGTCAGGTGACAAACTTGGCCAGTCTAAACTTGGTCGTATCAACTATAGTCCAACAATTGTAAAATGGAGTAAAAACCGTCTGACCGGGGCTGCTACAATGCATTCCGCCTCTTTTGCTCTCCACACAGACCGTGTTCCTGCTTTCAACCAAAGCCTGCTAGCACGTGACAGGTCAATACAACTAGGACAGCAAACGCAAACCAGAATGCTTCTGATACAAAAAATCTCCTCCAGTTTCCTATATAGAGATAATCCATGATTGAGCTCACTTGTAGCCTAGAAGAACCAACCCTAATTGTGTCCTAGGGGTCTATAAGAGGAAAAAGTGTCACCCTGGCCTGTCAGAGGTTCAAGTGAGTAGAATATAATTCCAGTTCTCAACAGAAAACTAAACACTTATAGATTTTTCTACCAATTAAAACAATGAATGGTTATTACATCCACACGTCAGCACTAAACTCTTATTGCTGTTGCTATCTCTATGTACAGCTTGTTTGCTGTGTCGTTCTACTGCTTTTTTAACAACTGTGTCCTTTTGCCATCTCTAAACTGCATGCAATCATTTTTACCATGTGGAATTATGAATGAGCACTGTCCCTTCTCTCAAATGAACTAAACTGAAACAGATGTATGTGTAAACTGTACTTGTACGTGTGATAACTGGAACTTTTCCCTGAAATACAAACAATGTCCTTATTGCTGTGATCTCAAAGTCAGAGGTTTGTGGCATGTCAGGAGGTTATGGTGATTCAATTCATTTAATATTTTTGGGGGAATTTTCACCACTAAATTATGATGCGAAGTTGGGGGTCCTCCACTACTAAGTCAACTTAGTTCCAAGAGCTTTATTATTTCAGTTTATATGCTGCTCACATGATGCAATTCCTAAATGAATTATGTTTTTAAAACTAAATAAGCCACTGAAACCTTGAGACCAGCTAATGTTTTCTCAGCACGAGAATAACAGTTGGTGTCTGCATCTCTCTCCACAGAATAAAGCTGTTGTGCTGAGTGGCCTCTGCTTAATGGGTCGACTAAGAGACGACAGGCTACACAGCCAACGCACAGAGAGTAAGAGGCGTCAGAGGGGAATTCTGCAGGCTCCCAAACTGGCTCATCCAGCCATGGCTTTGATAAAGTTATCTGATCTACCGTGGTGTGTGTGTGTGTGTGTGTGTGTGTGTGTGTGTGTGTGTGTGTGTG